TTGTACTCCAGCCTGCCGGCTGACCTGTGATCAGCTGAGCTGGACAGACTGGTCCGCTCCAGAGCGCGGTACAGATCCCCCAGAGAGTCCGCCTGCATCCTACGCTCCCGTCCGTGGCCTGAAACAAAGAAGAAAGTTTTTACATGACTGTGAAGTGCACACCAGGGTGAAATCAACACACACTAACAAAATTATTTCACAAGAGCAATTTTCTCTCGCCCCTTCATCATATAACAGTCTGGGCAGCTTCTCTCTGCCCACACATTTACATAAGCTGATTATTTGCTACCTGAGCAGCATGAAATCAGCGTGAAATGGCAGAGCTGGAGCTGAAAAGGCCGGCGAAGGGATTTAATAATGCAGCAAATTAACAGAAAGGTCAGTGAAATACAATGAATAACAAGGGCTTTTTCTGTAAAGGCCTGGAAAAAAACACAAAGTGACACCGTGGCCGTGGGTTGGTTTAAATGTTTGGCTGAACTCAGATCAGTTTATTCACACACCAGCCCTTCACTGTCAGTTAGACATAATAAACTCATCTGAATGGAAATAAAATTAAACTTATAAAACACGCAGCAGAATAGCTTTAGCTGTTAAAAAAAGACGCAGCAGAATAGCTTTAGCTGTTAAAGCTAATTAGCCGTTTCCCTTGGTGTGCTACCACAGTTCCCCAGGTTTATTATAAAATAATGCTTGAGTTGAGTAAATAATGAAAACTAATAACACGCGTTTAGACCACAGGTATGTTGGGTGCTGGGTGAAACACAGCAACAAACCTCATAATCAGCCATGACAGCTAAGAGCTAGCAGAGAAATAGCAACTGGCAAAAACTGGTGCAATATTATTTATATTTTCAATTATATATTCATGAAATTAACTGAAAACCTTTTAAAAATCAGTAAATTTATTTCCAATATATATATTCATATTTATTATGTTCTAACTCGTATCTTTTTATCCAACTATCTATGGTTTTAGTCAATCCAAATGATCCACCGTAACCTTTGATTGTCAATTTGTTTTCCCAACACTGCCCTCTGTTGGCACATTTGTGACATTACATGACATCAGTGCCCGTTTTATCGGCTTTAATAGACTCTTTAGGCTCACGGTGAGTCACTGTGACTTCTGTTCCGTGATTCATGGTCAGTTTTTTTTTTTACTCATCTTTATTTTTATACTTTTTATCTCAAAGACGGCGTAAACTTCAGGCCTCAACAGACAAACGAGGACGACGACAGAGCGCCCCCGGGGGTCAGCTTGTTCACACAGCTCTAATTCCACATTAACAAGGGCTGAAAAGAAGAGAATTCATCCTCACTTCACCATCGACCACAGCCAGGAGGCGCCATGACACCTCAATTAGATAAAAGTGAGAACGAGAGGCTGTCGAGATGAATCAGGAATAAATAGACTGCTTAATTTCATCTCACACAGACTGCCCCCCGGAGGTCGAGGAGGGGCAGCAAACGGACTGCCTTCAAGTCCAGTCCAATAAAGCAGCGACCAGCGGCGGTTTAACCTGTGACGTTAACCTCTGGCTCTGAGTGTTAGCAGCTGTGATTAAATAAGTGGAGAAAAGAAGGTCAAGTTGTGTGTTAAATAAAACACTGGTCCACGGCCTGGACATGGACACTCTGGGCCACATGAGGAGAACAGAGGGTTCTATGTA